CATGGTTCGTTTTGTCGTACCAAAAAACCCTTGTATACCAATTTTCACTGTTATACATCAAATATTGTTCGAAATATTTAAAAAAAACTATTTTAGAAAGTAAATTTAAACACCCTGTATTTCGGAAGCCACGCATTTTTCGACCCATGTTTATATAGACTGTATTATTATTAATTTTAAAAGTTCTATCGAATCTTAAAGTTATGCAACAATAAACTGAAACACCCTGTATATGTATATTAAAAAACTATTTCTAAAATCTGATATATCTCACTTCAACATCAAACCCCTCTTTATCGTCAAGTCGTTTATTTTCCTATTTATCCATAGGGAAACGGACGAAACAACGGCGGGCGGCCAGCGCGAATCTGGCAGAAGACTGGGAGAGAGACTCACCGACACCACATTCTGGAGAAACGAGGTAAGAGGAGAACTTGATAGACTGATAGCAGAAACGTCCAAGCTTCAAGACGCTAGAAGAGGCATTCAAAAAGCTATTGACGATATCGAAGGACCTCTACATATTGCGCAGGAATGCCTGTATCACAGAGAAAAAAGAGAAGGTATTAGTTATATTCTGACGCGGGCATCTTTGATATCTCTAAAATCTTCGTCTCCATTACATTTCTATGTACAACCAAATGCCTTGCAGGTGTCTGTTTTGTTCGAAAAAATTCAGTATATCCCTGTATATATTTGTGTCCCAGAAGTCGACGTCAAGCCGAAACCGGGTGATAGGCAAAGTCATAACAGCTATCAGAAAAATATTTAAGAAAATTTTATGTATGTGTTTTGAAAATTATAGGTCTTTGAAAAAGATATAGAAATTTCACACCCTACGGCAGTCTGTCAACTCCTGTTACTACAAATATTAACTTTTTTTGGATTTTATTTTTACAATGTAATGATGAATAATGCATCTTCAAACTGGTGTCTCAACCTTACTGCCAACTTTTCTCGTTCAGGAAAAATTTCTACTCATTTCCCAACCAAGTATTCCAAAGTAAAACTTTGCTCAACTTTAACTGGCTGTACTGGAAAAAAATGTACTACGAGAGTTTGGCAAGTAACCTTAAAAGTTGCCGCATTTAATAACGATTCCAAAATGGTATAACACTTAGAAGATTACTCGTTAACTTATGCACAATTCTTATTTGAAAAAAAAACTGATGAACATTTTTCAAAATTTCCTAATTAAACAGCGATTATGAAAACGCACAAGGACCCTTAAGGATAACTGTTTGCACAACAGTGGGCGTCAAAATGCTGCTGATGATGATTTACCTTTACAGCAAATGCTCAAACTGTTTTCCTTCAGCCGCAATACACGCTCGACATCTTCTTAAATAAGATCGGGTTATTAAACGAGCGAATCCACGGTTATTAACAAACTCAGCTGCTTCCAATAGTCTTTGCCGTAGCTCAGCTACATTTTGAATCGGCTTGAAATACACTTTTTCTTTTAAAGTTCCCCAGTAAAAAAATCTAAAGGATTCAAATCAGGTGATCGGGCTGGCCACGGTATTGTACCAGACCGCCTTATCCATCTGCCTGGAAAGTTTTGATCGAGATACTCTCTCACGGAGAGTGCATAGTGCGCTGGGCAGCCATCATGCTGAAACCACATGTCCCTGTAAATACTCAGTGGCACGTCCTCCAATAAATTTTCTAAATGATTTTGCAAAAAACCTAAATAAACCTCAACAGTCAAAGTCTCTGGGAACTCAAACGGACCGATTATTTTAGCATTTAAAATTCCTGTCCAATGGTTTATCTTGAAGCGATATTGAGATTTATCTTCTCTCATCACATGTGGGTTTGCTACGTGCCACTCGTGTAAGTTATGCAGGTTCATGTACCCATCTTTCTTAAATGTGGTCTCATCCGACCATAAAATTTTATCAAAGAACTGTGGATCTTTCCTGTGTCTTTCTAACATTGTGCGACAAAAAGCACCTCGAGGCTCATAATCCCGGCGCAGGAGAGGTTGAACACGCTGTATGTGGTATGGATGAAGCACATCACTTACTTGCTATTGCACACTTTGATACCGATCAGTACTCCTTCGTTTACTGCGCATCTTTACATGTTCGTGCTTGTTGATTTCGTAATGTTACTAATTTTGGATTCGTGAACTGGACTGTTGATCGCTTGTGATTTGGATTTGGACTGTTTAATTGCTCTTCAAAACAACATTTGCTTTCCTTAGACTATCTTTGATAGTGTGATTGTGCAGTGCCGCTATGTCCGTGTACACGGTACAAGAATATGCTAACATGCACCTCATTTATGGGGAATGCATATGCAACGCTAGTGCTGCAGCGAGACTTTACTGTGAGAGGTACCCGAATGCAGCTCTTCATCCAGATCATCGAGTGTTCAAAAATGTGCACCGCTTACTATTCTCAGAGGGCCAACTACCAAACCAATCACACGGTGAGGGAAGATCTTTCCTTCCTTACGAAGACGTGGTGCTAGGAGCTGTCGAAGAAGCCCCGAGTACTTCAGTGCGTGCAATAGAACTAAAAACAAGTGTGCCCAAAAGTACAGCCCATAGAGTCTTGCAAAAAAACGTGCTCCATCCATACCACGTACAGCGTGTTCAAGCTCTTCTGCCCCGGGATTATGAGCCCCGAGTTGCTTTTTGTCGCACAATGTTAGAAAGACACACGGAAGATCCACGGTTCTTTGAAAAAATTTTATGGTCAGATGAGACCACATTTAAGAAAGATGGGTACATGAACCTGCATAACTTACACGAGTGGCACGTAGCAAACCCAAATTTGATGAGAGAAGATAAATCTCAATATCGCTTCAAGATAAACCATTGGACAGGAATTTTAAATGGTAAAATAATCGGAGAGACTTTGACTGCTGAGGTTTATTTAGTTTTTTTGCAAAATCATTTAGAAAATTTATTGGAGAACGTGCAACTGAGTATTTTCAGGGACATGTGGTTTCAGCATGATAGCTGCCCAGCGCACTATGCACTCTCAGTGAGAGAGTATCTCGATCAAAACTTTCCAGGTAGATGGATAGGGCGGTCTGGTACAATACCGTGGCCAGCCCGGTCACCAGATTTGAATCCGTTAGATTTTTTTTACTGGGGAACTGTAAAAGTAAAAGTGTATTTCAAGCCGATTCAAAATATAGCTGAGCTACGGCAAAGACTATTGGAAGCAGCTGAGTTTGTTAATAACCGTGGATTCGCTCGTTTAATAACCCGATCTTTTTTAAGAAGATGTCGAGCGTGTATTGCGGCTAAAGGAAAACAGTTCGAGCATTTGCTGTAAAGGTAAGTCATCATCAGCAGCAATTTGACGCCCACTGTTGTGCAAACAGTTATCCTTAAGGGCCCTTGTGCGTTTTCATAATCGCTGTTTAATTAGGAAATTTTGAAATATTTTCATCAGTTTTTCTTCAAATAAAAATTGTGCATAAGTTAACGAGTAATCTTCTAAGTTTTATACCATTTTGGAATCCTTATTAAATGCGCCAACTTTTAAGGTTACTTGCCAAACTCTCGTAGTACATTTTTTTCCAGTACAGCCAGTTAAAGTTGAGCAAAGTTTTACTTTGGAATACTTGGTTAGGAAATAAGTGGCAATTTTTCCTGAACGAGAAAAGTTGGCAGTAATGTTGATACACCAGTTTGAAGATGCATTATTCATCATTACATTGTAAAAATAAAATCCAAAAAAAGTTAATATTTGTAGTAACAGGAGTTGACACACTGCCGTAGGGTGTGAAATTTCTATATCTTTTTCAAAGACCTATAATTTTAAAAACACATACATAAAATTTTTTTAAATATTTTTCTGATAGCTGTTATGACTTTGCCTATCACCCGGTTTCGGCTTGACGTCGACTTCTGGGACACCCTGTATAAATGCCTATAAAGTTCAGCTATTGTTATATTGAGCGTGAAAAGTAGGAATATTGCTTTGAAACTGGTCGGCACGGGTATAACGTATCTTGAAAAGTGACATTATGCCGATTTTTTTTGACATTATGCTGTTTTTTTTTGACATTATGTAGGTTATTCACAAGATGTTAACTTAGCACTTAGTTGTACGTGTTGCCTAAACGTCATGAGGCTTGTTATCAATCTTCGGCTTTGATGTGATGTAAATCATAACATAACCTCTCTCCAGAAAGCACAACATATAAACAACTCGTCATATTCGGCATAGTCAGTAATGCTTTTCTCACACAGCTATCACTGATTTTATACACATGCAGACCAATACACATAATCATCCAGATGCGATTGCTATTCAACCAACTTTCTTCTTAGAGATAAAAAGTACAGACCCGGATCACAAAGCTATGCAACCAATAATGCGTAGTTTAGTTGACTGATTCCTCCACAGATGGACGTTTACAACGATCCTACTGAGCAAACGTGGAATGACTGTTTGTGCCCTAAAAACTACCTAGTCTACAAGCTGACATCTTATAGGTTTTTTTGACGTATTATGCGTTTTTTACATGATACCCCTGCCGTACTGGCGATCTAAACATGTGAAGTTTCACGGCCACTGAGGGGAAGGGAAGCGCCAATGTATGAATCAACAATATTCGACACGGAAGTCAGAAAGAGAAGGCCGTATGTCAGACACAGTCGCTTGTCTTCTCAATGAGCGTGACCCTTCAATAGTTTTTTAGGGTCACCAACTTGTGAGGCCTCACATATGTACTAACTGTGGTGACAAATGTTTGTAGAATTATACAGGGTGTCCCAGATTTCAACGTCAAACCGAAAACGGGAGATAGGCCAAGTCATGATAGTTATCACAAAAATATAAGTCGTGTATTTTTCAAATTATAGGCTTAAAGAAAAATTGGAAAAATCTACACCCTGTGATGATATTTTAGTTCCCATTGCTACAAATTTCACGTCACTCAATTGAAATTTGTAGTACGAGGGATGGCTTTTAAGTTTTGCATATGGAAATAAAACAACACGGCAGGTAGTTTTAAATGACTTTATTGTTTATTTATTCTGCACGAAGATTAATACAAATCTGCATGCGTTCGAACCAATTTTCGAAGCACTTATTCCACTCGTTTGCTGGCAGATCCAAGACGGCATTTTTGAATGCGTCAACTGCTTCTTCTGGTGACTGGAACCTTTGACCACGCAGTCTGTTTTTAATTTTCGGGAAAGTAAAGAAATTGTTAGGACTTAGATCGGGAGGATGGTCCAATAATTCCACGTTTTCTTCCGTTAAATACTGCCTTGTCTTTTGGGCTGTGTGCGAGATTGCATTGCCTTGGTGGAGGATGATTCTTTTTTCGGGGTTGATTTTTCGAAGCTCGATGATGACTTTTGGCAAACAAATGGTGGTATACCAATCCGCAGTAACAGTTCTTTGCTCATTAAGAGGAATTGTTGCAATATGACCCGCTTTTGACACAAATGTCGCGACCATCTTTTTCGAAACTAATTTCTTACTCCTAATTCTTCATGTACATTTTTTTGAATTGAGGTCTTTGAGATCTTCAAGGACGTCTCAATCTCGCGATATGTCACATGTCTATCTTCAGTGATGAGTTTGCGCACAGCATCGACGGCCTACTGTGTTTCTACATGCAAAACTTAAAAGACATCCCTCGTAATGGGAACTATTATTTTATCAATCACTGATTCTCAAGAACTATACTTTTTACATTGTAATTTCATTGAAGGTATTGACCTAGTCCACGATAATGCAGAAGTAAGCCTTCTAAGAGAAATAGAGCTATACAGAAATTCCCAAAAGAAACTTAAGTGTCTGAACGAAAAGATTCAAGTTCAACTGACTAACAACCGAGCTGCGCAACACGAGCTGGAAACTGACGTGAAAAGCAAGGATTCTGCTTTGGGTATAGATAACTTATGTCATCAGTTGAACAACTTTTCTAAAGGTATCAACTACTATGGAGGAATTGAAAAGTTCGACCCAACGTAAGTCTGCTCATCTAACATATAAGGCTGAATAAATGAATTCTTCGTTTTTTTTTTCACCGAATCGGCCGCGCAGTCAGAAGCCTTAATGCCAAGACACCGTTGGTGCGAAAGAGTCCCGAGACTGTCTGTTAGCCAGCCATTGGACCCTGGTTTAAGCACTTCTTCAGAAATTTACAACTAACACTGATCAACAGCCAAAAAATATCCTAAATAAAATCAACAAAATATTACTGTTTTTAATGTGCTAAAACCGGAATGAAACTTATTTTTTCAATATTAGTTCAAGTTTTAGAGATACGGTAATTATATGTGTTCCAGCTGTGACAGTGTTAATATACTGTAATTCACAAGAATGCACGTGCTACATTTTTATATTCGGCAAGGAAAGATGATGTAATCGGCATGATTGTGTTACGTTATACATACGTGTACATTATATTGTTTTATATTAGTCATTTTTCCTCAGTTGGCTGACAGCGTTCATGCAAGATGTCTCGAAAGTGTGTAAACAATCCAGATCAGTTTTGTTACGTGTGTGGTGATGTGACTCCACTAATAACAAAGGCATATCAGCTTTATTTCGGTTGTAAACTAGGTGATCAAGACAAACAGTGGGCACCCTACATCTGCTGTAATACATGTGCTTCAAGTCTGAGGAGCTGGTTAAATGGCAAAAAACGGTCTATGCGCTTTGCTGTCCCAATGGTTTAGAGAGAGCCTACAAATCATATTAATGATTGTTACTTTTGCATGGTACCTTGTGTTGGACAAGCCACAGGTATGTCCAAGGAAAAAAAAATCGGTTATTAACTACCCAATCGTACCATCTGCGATGAGACCTGTGCCTCACAGTGACGAAAATCCTATTCCAAAACCCCCAGAATCTTACACTTGCGAATCAGAAAACGAATCAGATCATGGTGATCGAGTGATTCGTCAGGAAGAAGATATGCCATCAACGTCAAGAGATCCTGATTTTATACCGAGCACGTCATGCCACCAACCGCACAAAATAACACAGTCAGAATTAAATGATCTTGTAAGAGATTTAGAACTTCCAAAATGTTGTAACGCTTCCTTTCCGCAAAAAGTCCAGAAAAGATGGAATGCAATGAAGATTCCAACTTTTCTGTACAATCACAGAAAGGGGGTTACCATTAGCTTCCGGTAGCTCAGTCGGTGGCATGAAGACATCTACAGGCGTGTAGCTGTGTGTCGACCATGGCATGGCTAGAGGATAGAAGAACAAACAGAACACAAAAATTTAACAGATTTTATTTAACAAAAAAAAGGCATTTTCATTACATTACAATTTTACAAAAATAACAAAATAAGTTTTACATCTTTGGCGCTGCTATAACGCTATCGACTTATCTTTCGCTGGTCCATTTTTACTCGACTGAAGCCAGGATGGCCAGGGGCTTGAAGGGGAGGTCCCAGTTATGAGGGGTGACCTCCATATAGTGGCTTCACAACCAGTTGTAGGCGAAGTTAAAGGCGATGGCGCTGCCAAGGTACATGCATGGGTGAAAATATTGGCCAAGGCTAGGCAAAGTGAAAGGGAAAGAGAAAGGGGGTGGCCCCAATCATTTTTGTCCTATACGGACACACATTCTAGAAATCTAGCACATGGTGCTATATAACCTTGTGCTACAGAGAAGAAATTTCTAGCCGTTGTTCGATCGGCGGCTCAAGTGAAAAGGAAGCGCGAGGAAGATCGCAGATCAGGAACTCCGCATCAAGCGCTCCAAGCGGAAAATTTTCCAAGCAAAAAAGCTAGAGATGGGATTAATGAAATGATAATCGAGAAGTGATTTAATAAATACGATCGGACGGTGAAACCGTTACAATGTAAGGCAGAGTTACTTGGATCAAGACTGCAGCAGTGGAACTTGTTAGAAGACGATGTTTCGGTATGTGTTTTTCGTAAACGCCACAAAGACTTAGAACCATTTTTCAATATGGAGAATAACTTGGTTTTCTGCAGTAACATTAAGGGCTTACTGGCGGCTTTAAATATAAACTATAACCCAGAAGACTGGAGATTGTTTATAGACAGTTCAACATTGAGTTGAAAGGCAGTGTTATTGCATATTGGAAATATTTTACCATCTCTTCCTGTAGGGTATGCAGTTCACATGAAAGAATCATATGACAATATGAAGTACCTATTGACATGTGTAAAATACGATGAGCACCAATGGCATATTTGTGGCGATTTGAAAGTTGTTGCACTTTAACTTGGGCTGCAGCTAGGCTACACAAAGCTTTGCTGTTTTTTGTGTGAATGGGACAGTCGGGCAAAGGCACTTCATTACACCAGACAAAACTGGCCTGTTCGTCAATTCCTAGAGCCAGGTCAAACAAATGTACAGCATATGCCTTTAGTAGATTCGAAAAAAATTTTATTACCACCACTGCATATCAAGTTGGGCCTAATGAAAAACTTTGTCAAGGCATTAGATAGAGATGGGTCAGCTTTTCAATACCTGCGTCAGAAATTTCCAAGACTAAGTGAGGCAAAGGTTAAAGAAGGTATTTTTGTTGGGCCACAGGTTCGAAATATTTTGAAAGATACACAGTTTGAAAACACTTTAACAGGTATTGAAAAAACTGCTTGGAATGATTTCCGTCTGGTGGTCACTAATTTCTTGGGAAATAGAAAAGCTGAAAACTATAAAACCCTTGTCAAAAATATGCTGTCATCGTATCAAAAGATGGGCTGTAATATGTCTCTTAAGATACATTTCCTACACTCACACCTGGACTTTTTTCCTGACAATTGCGGAGCCGTAAGTGATGAGCACGGCGAACGTTTTCATCAGGATATTTCAACAATGGAAAAAAGGTACCAGGGAAAGAGGAATCCTTCCATGCTTGCAGACTACTGTTGGACTCTTGGTAGAGATGCTCCAGAAACGATCCATAAAAGAACAGCAAAAAGACAGCGCATATAGTGATTCTTATAAGTATATGAATCTTGTTACTTTTTTTAATATATCCTAAAAAATAAAAAGTTTTTTTTCTAAACAGCAACAATTTTTTTTATTTCATTGTCATTTTTGGATTCAGCGCCCCAAAATTAACAAAGAAGTGCACTTTTCCCACAAGATACAATTAAAAAACTAAAATTTGTTGTCCAGTGTAATTTTTCCGACTCAAAAAATGTTCGGGTGCCAAAACCAATTCCGGTCCTGTCCCTTCGCAGCGCCCGCATTGATGCCAGCTTGTACATGATCGATCGCAATGTCCTCTTGGCAACGTTGCTGGCTTGTCTGTCAAACTTTGAACCGTCAAGACGGTTAATGTTTTGACAGCGACCTCAAAAAAGTTCAAATTCAAATCCCAAAGTATTTTAGGGGGTATTGTATACCTTTGTTTTTTAATTGCTAAAGCGCGCGCTCAATGAATATTCTGCGCGAGCACGAGAGATACAGCTTGCCTCTATGCTGCAACGTAAAATGTATCTTAAAATGAGACTGTCATCATTGTTTATTTTTGAAACAGGAACTCTTATTTTTAAAAATAGTTACCGTATTAGACGGAAACAAGATCTTAAACTAGTAATAAGTAAAAAGAATAATTGATTTCAAGATATTTTGCCTTGAACTTAAAAACTTCCTTATCTGAAAACCATGTGTGTTCTACAATTCATTTACTTGTGATTCACATTATGTAATTTTGTCTATTGATCTACCTACCTTAGAGTCTTGACCTATGCATCCATTTCTGGAACTCCCAACTTCGAGATTTTGATAATGCTGTGTACGAAAGCTCTTATTGGACAGTTTGTTTTGTTACTGTATTTTTTAGTGTGAGCAACACAGTGACATGGGCGGAAAACAGCAACAGAATAGTGCAACGCTCTCAGGCTGAGCGAGGTAAATCTGCTCAGATGCGATCAGATATTGAAAACCTAGTAAATACCTGCGCTCAAGAAGTCTGGGATGCCTGGAGTGCTACAAACAGTGCCCTAGCTCGAAGGGCTGCTGAAACATTGGAGGCAAAGAGCAAACTACAAATGCATCTGCACAAGGTATAAATATTACTGTTTGTTGCGACAAAATACAAAAAAGCTTGTCGAATACTAATTTCGTAATCTTTCGATATGCGCTGCAGTAGTATTTTTGAAAGTTATAGTCGCACTTCTTTCGAGTTGTATTCGCCAGACTTGAATCCCTATTTCAGCATGCTGACCAGTAACATAGCGTATACATACACAGTGACATTTTATCTAAGATCTTAAATTATTTTTTTTTACAGATACAGCAAGAAATATTCGAGATCGAAAAGTATATAGAGCTACTGAAAAGATCAATTTTGGATAAAAGCATGCCAATGAAAGTAGCACATACACGTTTGGAAGCAAGGACTCACAGAAAAGATGTTGAGTTGTGTAGAGATTCAGCTCAAGACAGGTAAGTAAATCGCGTCAAGTAAGTTGACTTTGTACTTTAAAAAAATTATATTAGGCATAGACAGGCCACGGATTAGCGAATCACTGTCTCATTTTCCAGAGGCGTGGGAAGTAAAAATTGGCACTTTGCTTTTGTAAATAATTTTGACTAACTCATGTAAAAACCCTCTTTCACGAGTATACGAGGGTGGTCCCAGAAGTACCCGGTCTGACCTAGCGATGGCGATAGTTGTTTGAAAAATATCATTGTATTTGACAGTATGCAACCTATAAAGCGTATGTGTCAAGTTTGAAGACGCCACGTTGTTTAGTATTTGTTTGGCTGCCATCAATACTGAACGTTTTTGGGTAGCAGAGTTTAAACGAGGTCGTATGAGCTGCCAAGACGAGCATCGCAGTGGTCGACCAAATGAGGTGACGACTCCAGAAATGGTGAAGAAAATTCGCAAAGCGGTACTGAATGATCGCCGACTGAAGTGTGCGAGCTAGCAGTCATAGTAGGCATTTCAAAAAGTGCTGTTCATCGCATATTATCTGAAAATTTGGACATGAGAAAGCTGTGTGCAAGATGGGATTGCTCACAATCGAGCAAAAACAGTGTCGTGCAGATGCTTCAATTGAGTGTTTAGCGAAGTTTCACAGCAACAAAGCAGAATTTCTTCGTCGTTTCATAACCATGGATGAAACATGCGTCCATCACTTCACACCCGAAACAAAAGAACAATCAAAACAATGGACTCAGCAGGGACAACCGGCTCCAAAGAAGGCGAAGACCGTTTCATCTGCAGGCAAGGTTATGGCGTCGGTTTTTTGGAATACGCGTGGGATAATTTTCATTGACTATCTTGAAAAAGTTCAAAGTATCAACGGCGAGTATTATGCGAAATTATTGCAACGTTTGAGCGATGAAATCATGCAAAAACGGCCGCATTTGGTTAAGAAGAAAGTGTTGTTTCATCAAGACAATGCACCAGCTCACAAATCCGTTATTGCAATCGCCAAAATTAACGAATTAAAGTTTGAATTGCTACCTCATGCACCCTATTCACCAGATTTAGCCCCCTCGGATTATTTTGTTTCCAAACTTGAAAAAATGGCTCAGTGGTCAAACATTTTCCAACGATGAAGAAGTGACAACGGCAGTTAATTGCTATTTTGAGGAGGAAGACAGTTCTTATTATAAAAAGGGTAACAAACTCATTGAACATCGCTGGGAAAAGTGTATAGAGCTCAAAGGAGATTATGTTGAAAAATAAATACATTTTTTTTACAAAAATTTTGTGTTTTCTTCGTTGGGTCGGGTACTTCTGGGACCACCCTCGTATATCACGTTTTGACGAGTACTGCGAATCGGCAAGTGAGATCTCTGTGTTAGTCTGTAACGTTGGTAACAATAAATGGGGTGTAAATCTAGTATAACTTGCTGGTAGCCTTGTTTTGTATGCAAATGAACCTTTCAAAATAAAAGAATTCGGTTCTGTCTACCTGGCGTTGACGGATCCGACACATTTATGTGTCATTTGTCGATATGGGGAATTTTACTAAATAATCGGCTGTTATTCTGCCGTAATGGATACTCGTGAAAAAGACAATACCATTTAAACCGCATGCCTTCTTTTTACAGGTTAATGATTGAGGTGCTTGATTTACAACACAATATAGAATTGATCCATCGTAAGCTGCAAGAGGCAGAAGCTCAACATCAACAGCTGCTCAAAACGAGAGCAAATCTAGAGTCTGATTTACACAGTAAAGTGAACACACTGTTCATTGACAGAGAAAAGTGTATAGGGATGAGGCGATCTTTCCCTATCACAGCAACTATCAAATACTAAATACTTGAATCACCACTATGCACTTAATGAATATAGTGATAAACACATAGTGTAAAATTGTATTTGTGGGGAATGTTGCTGATAAAACTTGCATCAACAAATAACACTGACCCATCTGTACACATTATACTCTGGCCACAAATTCTTACAATAAAAAAGATTCAACAAACAAGAAGTTTATTTACATTTATAAATAGGACATACATTATTTTTTTACAAAACTAGGCATAGGTAATTTCATTCCATCTTTGGCTTCAAAGAACGTATATGATAATGTGATCTCATTTATGTATTCCATATATGGATCCTCAACAATTTCTGGATCAATGTAGAAAAAGACAGGCATATCAACCTAAAAAAATCATTCTATAGAATGATTACAATTTTCCTGCATACAAAATTAATTTGTCTCTACAAATGATTCTCAAAGACAATGCACAAGTCTCATACAGAGGAAGAATTAGATGCAGAAGTGAGAATATCAAATTTGCAAAAAATTTCAAATTCAGGACTGGTATGTAAATGTCACTCAAATTGATGCAGATGAAATTTAAGATAAAAATAAAATAGATAACACAGCTATGATTTTAAGAAGCTTCCTAATTTATTATCAAATATTCCGGACAATGTTTGGTGTCATTATTTAAAAAAAACAGGAGACTTCTTGTGAAGTCTGATTTTTCAAGTTGTTAATACAATTAATAATAATGCCACTAAATAACTGATTTTTAAATTCTAACGGGAAGTCAATTTACCTGTTTCCATTTTTTTGACTTTCTATGATACTCAAAAGGAGATTTTTTCAAAAGCCTTTTATTTCCAATTTGGTAAATTATGATACTTTTAAAATTAAAGATAAATGAATTTTAATGACTCAAGTTTTTATTGTTTTCCTTTCTTAAATTATATTATATTGCAGTATAAGGATGTGTTTATAGATATGGACCGATATCTTGAATATTACCTGCTCATGTGGATTCAACATCTGTTCTTCAAAACAGAAACATTGTATTTTATTAAAATATTGTCCAGCTTCAAATGGAACAACATTATATGTACTTATTCCTATTACTGGTACATCAGTTGGGTTCATGGCAGTATAGAATGCTAATGCTGTTTCACCTGGATATACCTTAAGTGATTTCCAAAGAAAAAAATATTTAGATTTATCCTGAACTAAAATCTTCAATTATTCATTTTGGTCTCTTACCGTTATCTCAGTCTGCTGGGGTTTAAAATTCCATCTCATGCTTGCAGCAGTGTCAGCATTAAATTTTATTTTAATAGGTTTCTGTTTAACCGCTGACATTGAGGATACCTTTTCAGTATCATGTCCTGTAGCTGTGGTGCCCCCATAGCTGTATGCTTGACAAAACATTCGATAAAGAGGCACTGCAGCATAACTTAAACCCACCTATTACATGATTTCATTTTACTCATTATGTGATTGAGGGTAAATTTAAACTCACCGTTACGATTCCCGCGGCTGTAACGTAATATAGGGTAGATTTTATGCCCCGTTTCCTAGTTTCACCTGCAGAGTCTGCAGCTTTTTGTCTTAAGTTCGAAGAAAGATGGAAAACACGTTTTTGGTATCGTAACAAGTTGAACAAGGGTTTTCTTGTTGCATCCGGACATAGTTTACATAATTTTTGGCTTAAATTCATTTTTAAAGGGACATATTTTGAAAATTTTAAGGTTATGTCATAAAAGGGGTTAGAAATCACAGCACAGAACAAACACTTAAGAAATCAAGGAATAGATTGACAGCAAGATAGCCAACATGTTGTGTTTAACTGCCATCTTGATTGACGAACTTTAAAGGGTAACCACAGGAATGACTTAGGCTGAACTATACTTTAGCAGTAAAAATTTGAATTCATGTGATCGAGTTCTGACATACAAAAAATGTTCATTATCGTCAATGTATTTGTTCTGTTACAAGCGTTCTATAGCTTGTAGTTCACAATTATGCGTAATTTGAGCGCAGCGCACAACCACCTCTAGATGTACCTTTACGCCTTTACGGGTGCTATTTTGTCATATCTCATTTTTAATGTTTTGTGCTTCATTGTTTATTTTATGTTTTGAGGCAAAATCTAACCGCCTAACCGCATTTTCTCATATTTCAAATTTACAACACAACTAGAAAAACCAAAAAGGAAGCGTGCTTCTGGTTTTTTGAAGGATCACTACATCTGTTATAATGGCAAATGTAGACGCTCTAACTGAAGCTCTTGCGAAAACTAAAGTCGATCGGAATGGAGTGAGTTTCGCCGGGAAATCTTTGAAATTGGACAACGAGGACGATGGTATACCCAAGTACATTGATAAAAGTCCATATTCTAAGGCCATGATTCTATTTTAGCTAACGAAGTTACTGAAGCAATCAATGAATGTACTGACTTGGAATACCTCAATTTGGAAGGTAACACATTGGGTGTAAATGCAGCCAGAGCTGTAGCAAAATCATTGGAGAAGCACCCAGAACTAAAAAGAGCATTATGGAAGGATATGTTCACAGGAAGAATGAAGACGGAAATCCCAAAAGCACTGGTTAGTTTTCTATCTCGTGACAATCATCCAAAATCAAGATAACAGTTTTTACACTATGAACATGATACTCATGTAGTAGTAAGGGTGATTTTATTTTGAACTGCATTGTGCAATAACATGTTTGTTTTGTAAGTTACATTTTTTAGGAACATTTAGGTAATGGTTTAGTGACAGCCGGAGCTCGATTAGTCGAATTAGACTTGAGTGACAATGCTTTTGGGCCTATTGGTGTTGAAGGCTTAGCTGCATTGCTCAGGAGCTCCTCATGTTATGCTTTGGAGGAACTCAGGTTGAACAATAACGGACTTGGAATCACTGGTGGGAAATTGTTGGCCGCAGCTTTAACAGACTGCTACAAGAGCAGCAAAGAGCAGGGAAAGCCACTGGCTCTGAAAGTTTTCGTTGCAGGTAGAAATAGGCTGGAGAACGATGGGGCTACAGCCTTGGCCCAGGTGTTCAAGGTAATTGTTTTGCGTTTGTGGTACAGTGTATTGCATTATTCAATTTATAACCATGAACACTGGATTTAATTTATTTATAAATTGTTATAAATACAAATGTACACTAAGGTTTATCTAATGATACCAGGTTGATGATAGACTGCAACAAAATAATTTTAGGGGTGGCTGTACAGTTACTAGACTGACGACTGTGATTGGTCAAATAAGCAAATTTTTAAAATATACTAAGTGACATATAAATCCGAACACCCAGTTTAAATGGTTTTATTTTAATAAAATTTTGTCTAAGTACATAATGAAGCATAATAAGTAAATGATAAAAATGTCAAAATGATTGCACTGCTTTAAAGCCCTTTGACCTTTAATAATGTGTGGATGCACCCTGATGTGCTACGCATTCACCAATGCGCCTATTCATGCTTCTGATCAGGTGGTCAATGTCCTCCTGTGGTATCTCATTCCAGGCAACCACCAACTCCTCTCGAAGTGCTTCTAGAGTCTGAGGAGGACGTTGCAAATTGAGCAATCTCCTACCCATCATATCCCACACGTGCTCAATTGGGGATAAGTCGAGAGATCTTGCTGGCCATGGTAACAATGTGACATCATTATGTTGAAAGAAGTCTATTGTGACTCTTGCAACATGTGGTCGGGCATTATCTTGTTGGGAAGTTGGATCTGCCAGGGTGTCAAGATAGGGTTAAAGATGGGGTTCTAGAACTTCGTGGATATAACGCTGTTCATGTTACCTCTGATGAAGATTAAAGGTGACCTGGAACCATAAGCTATAACACCCCAAACCATAACTCCAACAGTGTGATGAACATGTCTTTCAACAAAAAACTGTGGATTCCTCCTTTCACCACGTCGCCTTCTAACCCTGGCACGACCATCGTGCATGCCTAAACAAAATCGAGACTCGTCACTAAAGACAATACTGTTCCATTCCTGATCCCAGAGTGACCATTGTCTGCACCACTCAAGGCGATTACGTCGGTGTTCTCGAGTTAAAGGGAGGACCCAATGTGGCCGGTATGAAAACAAGCCAAAACTTCTCATTCGTCGGTAAACACTTCGCATGCCAATAGGTCTTCCGTGTCCTGCAAACCATTGATTTGCAATGGACCTGATAGTGGAGAAACGGTCCCTTAAATCCAATAATCTTAGGCGGCGATCTTCACGGTCTGTTGTTATACGGCGGCGTCCAGAAGCCATGCCTGACAACACCTAACCACAGTGTCTACACTTCTTTGCACTCTATCTGCAATTGCCCGAAAAGAAAGTCCAGCTTCCCGAAGTCGCACTATACGGCCCCTATCAAACTCACTAAGTTGACGAAATCGTACAGGTCTCCGTACTCTAGGCATCGTAACCGATCGTAAAGGATGTCAAGAACCAAAATCCGTCAACGTTGATTCTTTACTGCGGCTGAAATATTCATTTTTAGAACGTTAGTGAATTAAAAAAAAGCAGTATAAAAACCGGAATGTCTAACTGATAAGGCTGAAAATTTTTTCACTTGTTATTTACAGTAAGATAAATACATTCACCAACTTTTATTAAAATAAAACCATTTCAACTGGGTGTTCGGATTTATATGTCACTTAGTATACATTTTAATTTCAAGCATGCATTTCTCTTTTGTTGCTAAACAAAATAGTGGTATATTTAATATAGGGCCCTAAAAGGTAGACAGCTATGGACTGATATACAGGTTTTGTGGTGTCTTGAAATTGTATTTCTAATTTAAAAAGAAGCTCCAAAGACTCTCTATATCCCTGATTTTCAACAAAACTTTTGAGCTGCTTGGTCAGGGTAATAGCTTTATCATAATTTGGAATAGCTGGAACCTGATCGACATTAGAATCTTTGGAAACTTCTATATTTCAACTGGAGTTTTAATTTTTTGGTCTGAATCTCATACAAATGTTCATCTCGGTTCAAAAAATCGTAAAGTCAGTCAATTTCAATAAATTTTTATTTTTGAGGATATCTGAAAGTACCTCAATTGGTAAGTCATTTTCTGAGTCAGGTGTATGAGACTTTGGTAATAAGTTTTAAAACTCTTTATATTCATTCATATGGCATTAAAATGGGTTGGTTATGTTAGGTTAATCTTTTGTGGCTTAGTTGTTTTCTGGGTTGACCACCTATTCTTTTATGTCCTGTTGGAATTCTAAACTCACTACAATTATTAGTGTTGTCATTTATGTTACTTATTGTGACCAGCTGTGTGATACTGGTGGTAACATACTGTATGACATTTTAAGGGCCATCATAGATTTATTAGTATTAATTCAGTATATCTGCAGTATAAAGGCTTACAGAATAAAAAGATGAATCTGACTCCAGATGGTCAAATGTCTTTATAAACAACCATTAAGCTACAAACATAAAAAATTTCTCCAGATGATTGGTACTCTAGAAGAGATTGCCATGCCTCAGAATGGAATTTACCACGTGGGAATCAAAGCTCTATCGGAAGCATTTGTGCACAACAAAGGCTTACGCATTTTAAACTTGAATGATAATACAATTGGCTCGAAAGGGGCCGACCATATTGCTGGAGTGTTGCCGCATCTTCAAGCGTTGACTGACATCAATTTCGGGGACTGTCTACTGAAGACTAAAGGCGCATCCAGACTAGCCGAGGCTCTTACGGACGGACATGGGAATCTCAAGGATTTACAACTTGGTCAGTGTTTTTTTATCTTGTCAGTAAACATGGAGTATTTTCGAAAAAATGACTTTTGCTTTTAAGTTTGGCTACTTGTACTTTATGATGGAAAAATTCCGTGTTGAGGATCACTAGAATATATTTTGTGTAATGTTGCAATATTTAGATTTTCAGGTAGGTAAACTTTTTGCGAATCTTCCAAAGAATAATGAGATTTGCGGCATTTGAGGCTCTTAATAAACGTGGTCACTTTCTGTTTTGTGTTTTCTGAAAGTTTGTGAAGTCGTGTGTTGCGTTTTCCGCGCATGTCGATGGGCGATTTCCCAGTTGCAACTAACGAGTCTCTTATGTACCGAACTCGTCGAACTGTAATTCAGACAAAAAAGCCTTAAGACAAACTGGAACATCACGTATAATTCCTTTTTCCACCAATCGGACAGCATTGACTCTGCTTCATTTTTTCGTGGGCGTCTACGCATGACAAGAAGAACAGCGATAAGACCACTAAGATAAGCGTTTTGTGCATTATTGTTTCCTAGTTTATTAAATTCACGAAGAAGTCTACAGCTTTCAGGTTCAGGAACAGTAGTAGAACAGCGAAAACGCTCACAAAAACAATCAGATCCAAGTTAGTGGGTAGTGGCGCGCAACGTTTTCATTACGTCTCTTTGTCTTCCGATTTGTTTGCGTTTTTTCGTTTCTCTGTTTGATGGGCATGGTTCATTTTCACTTGAAACTGAATAGTCACTATCCATTATACACAAAACCCGTATTATAAACATAGTCAATATTCAAAATATCAGCGTATACAACTCACGTGGACTCTAATAGTAAACGCCGCCTTTTCATATGGACTGATGCCGTTTTTCCATACACGCGCAGAGACTCATGGCATTCTTCGCCGGCACAGGGAATCTTGTAGCTCAATTTAGCGAAATAATGAACTAATGCCGTTTCTCCCCGGTACCCTTCATATGTCTGGGACATGATAGGTCGCAGGCTCTTAAATTTCCAACACCCTCCACAGACTTCACCAGCTCTTACTCACAAAGTTGCAGTAGCGTGG